AGGACATTTCCCCCTCCAGGTTGTTGGCACCCCAGGGATCCTTATCTTCCACTGATTTTTTTCTCTTCCTGGTTAGCCTGTGCTGAAATTACAGGATAGGAGCTGGCTTGTCTTCTTTTTACATGGTGGCTTTATAGTATTTATGGCCAATGTCTTTTTATGACTTAAATGATTGTCAGCTGCCCTTGGGCGCTTTGTAAAAGCAGAGAAGGGGGGACATTAGCCTTCTAAATACGTCACGGAACAATTACAATGACGGCCGGGATGCAGCATCAGGCCCTGCTCTCAGATATAAGAGGAGGAGATTGGATTTATTATTTATTTATTATATTTATACCCCGCCCTCCCTGCAAGCGGGCTCAGGGCGGCTTACAAGGGAGCACTAGTGCTGACACATAAAAACACAGTAAAACAGTATAAAACAGTAAAACCATTTAAATCAACAAAGAATAAAGTGCTCAAAAAGAACAAGATGGTCTCCATAGTTTGCAGGGGAATATCAGGTTGCTAGCAGTTCGAAAGCAAGAAATTGCAAGTAGATAAAGTAGATAAATAGCGGTGGCTCAAGTGGTTAAGACGCTGAACTGCAGGCTGTGGAAGGTCAGTAGTTCAGCAGTTCAAACCCGGGTGCCGCATGACGGAGTGAGCTCCCGTCTCTAGTTCCAGCTCCTGCCAACCTAGCAGTATACCCCGCCCTTCACTCGGAGTCTCAGAGTGGCTTACAAACTCCTTTCCCTTCCCCTCCCCACAACAAACACCCTGTGAGATAGATGGGGCTGAGGGAGCTCTTTCCAGAACTGTCCTTGAGAGAACGGCTCTGACAGAACTACGGCTTGCCCAAGGTCATCCAGCAGCTGCGAGTGGAGGAGTGGGGAAACAAACCCAGTTCTCCTAGATTAGAGTCCACGCAGTTAACCACTAAACTACGCCAAACTGAACCACTGCACCAAACTGAAGAGGTAGGTCTTTATACCCCGTTTTTCTCTACCCTGGAGGTCTCTTGCCTTGAAACCCCCACAAGGGGGTCGCCATAAGTCCACGGCAACATGATGGAACTTTCCGCCACCTGCCCTGACCTGGATGGCCCAAGATGGCCTGTTCTCACCTGGTCTCGGAAGCTAAGCAGGGTCGGCCCTGGTTAGTATGTGGATGGGAGACCAACAAGGAACTCTGGGTGCGGTCACCAGAGGTCATTTCGGGGGGGGGGATCGCGGGGGATCGCAGTTCCCCCTGGTGAGGTACGGGCCGCCGTACTGCTTCCGGCCGCCCCGCTTCCCGCCCTCATTCAGCCAGGAGGAGGCAGGAGAAGAGGGAGGGTAAGTTGCTTCCTCCCCGCCTCTCCCCACCCCTGCCTGCCTGGGGCCAGGGAGGGCCTTCGCGGGGCTTCCTCGCACTCCCGCCAGCCTTGCAGGTCCACCGCCGGGCCCCTCATGGGGCTCGGCAGGAGCTGCAAGGCCGGCAGCGGCGGCCAGGACCGTTGGGGGCGGGGTGTGTGGCCTTATGACACACTTCCGGTGATCAATGCAACCAAGGGCACAGCAATCTGAAAGCACCAAAATAAAGGAATTGCTGC